CCCAGGAGTTGGAGGTTGCTGTGAGCTGTAATGCCACGGCACTCTACCCCGGGGGACAGCTTGAGGCACTGTCTCAAAAAAAAAAAAAAAACAGAAAACTAAGCTCCTAGACTAGCTATGGCCCTGGCCCTCATCTATTCCCTCCGCCCCAATTTCTAGAGACATATCTAGCTACCTACTAAGCTCTAAGTTATGGTGGCATGCCCTACTCCTCCTTCCTGGGATGGGTCTAAGAAGGAAAAGAGGGTGATAGTGGGGGCACCTGGATCCATGCCTTACCCTGTGATTGAAAAGCCATAGATTAGATCCATTATGCCCAGCTTAATTTTGCCATTGTGCTGGGAGTTATGATTCCTTTGTGTTGGGCTCTCTCTGGTGGTTAAGATGTGCATTGCAGGAGAATTAGGTAAGACTGATGTTCAGGCCATCCTAAGAGGTGGGATGGTTTGCTCTCTCTCCATCTCATAATACCCACTTCCTTTTTAACACAGGATATCTCTTCCTGTCTGTTTGCTTCTCTCCATCACTAATCATCAATCACAGTGACATAGGAATTGTCCTGATTTTATAGATGAAACGGGGTCAGAGAGTTGAAATTGAGACCAAATTCTTTGCTGTGTGCAGCATTCAGGATCATCAAGTGATCTAAGCTGAGTCTGTTTTCCCAGCCTCATCTTCAGCTACTCTGAAGCCAAAATGGACTCGCTCCTCTAGAACATAGCCTGTTTCTGGACCTTTGCTCATGCTACTCCCCTCGCTCTTCATTACCCTTCACCTGATCCCCAAGTGTGCTACCTGTCAAAATCCTATTGTTTGAAAAACTAAAGAAACAGTATTTTCTATAGTTTGTGTGTGTATATATATATATATTTTTTTTTTTTTTTTTCCCCTGAGAAAGAGTCTCTTGGTCACCCTCAGCAGAGTGCTGTGGCACCTTAGCTCACAGCAACCTCAAACTCTTGGGTTCAAGCGATTCTCTTGTGTGCCTCCCAGATAGCTGGAACTACAGGCACCCACCACAACACCCAGTTATTTTTTAGAGACAGAGTCTTGCTCTGGCCCAGGTTGGACTCCTATTTGTGAACTCAGGCAATCCACCAGCCTCAGCCTCCCAAGTG